CCCATGCATGAGCTTCATAAGGACCAATAAGAACTTTAAGCAAGAGCGAAAGTAGCTATTTCAGACAGTCCCAGAAAGTACTGTGGGGCAGTCCACACTGGTTGATGAGCAGGGTTAGCGAGCTGATAAGGCATGGAGTCCAACTGTAACAGGATGGAGTTACAACCTTCCACCTTCCAACTGGGTGGCCTTAGGCTAGTGACTTAATCGTTCTGAATCTCAGTTTCTTCATCTGTCAAATGGTAATTATAATGTGTGAGTTTTTCTCTGTGTTTGTTGAGGTAATTAAATTTTAAAATGGCTGTAAAGCACTCACATAGTACAAAGGCGAATGGCAACTATTCAATGTATTAGCATTACTGCTCCTACAACTATGGTGGATGATGCCATTGGAGTCGCGCTGAAAAGAAGAGAGATGATCCTAGACCTAGCCCCATGAGTTCATCACAGGCCACGTGTGTGGAGGAGTCATAACAGTGATTTGTAGGAGCTGTCATGTCCTCAGATGCAGTCAATGGAAAACCTTCCTTACTGAGGGAAGTGGCGTCAAGCTAGTGGCCAGGCTAGGCTGAGACAGGGGCTTCAGGGAGGCCATGCTACCCTTGTACTTGCAGAAAATTGGTGGCCACTAGTGGGGAAGTTCTTTGATCACTAAAGAAATAGTGCATCCTCAGGATCAGTCCTCCTTTTGGAAGCATTTGCATAAAAGGAGCAGTCCTTTCTTTGAAAATGCAGGGCAAACATGGAGAGCATTAAGGAGCTGAGTGAATAGGTCAGAGCCATGAGCTAAAATGTTGGGGGATTTTAGATAATTAGGATTCATTTATGTCACCAAAAATACTTACTGAGCACCCACTATGTGTCAGGAACTATTCTAGGCAGTAGGAAAGCACACTCAACAAGATGGACAGGGTCCCTGCATCCTAGAAGCTTGCATTCTAGGAATGACTATATATATATATATATATGCAAGAGATTTTCATTTAGTAGTAAGTCCTTTAAAATAATAAGATGTCTTGAGAACTATAGTAGAGAGTCAGGCAGGGCCTCATTGTGCAAATGGCATTTGAGCTAAAACCTGAATGAATGAAGGCAGAACTCTCCTTGGGAACATCTGCAGTAAGACTGGGCCAAACAGAGGGAACATCAAATGCAAAGTTCCAGGGTCAGAGGTGAGAGACAAAGCAAGGATGCCCGGAGCAAACATCTTTTGAAAAGTGGTTTTAAATGACCTGGAAGAAGTAGGGAGAAGCAAAATGGATTACAAAGGACCGTTTAGGCCATGCACATACAGATGTCACTGAAAGAAAGAGCTGCTAAACTAAAAAGCTAGCAAAAGCCAAAATATTCAATAGGGTAAAATATCATTAGTTTCCAAACTAGTGAAGTTAATTATCAAAGGGGAGGCATGTCATCACTTCCAACATGTTTTGGCATGCAGTATAATGTTGGGCCAAAAGGTTACATGAACTCCATGTTCTTAGGTACTGCCTTATCCATTTCTTATCAAAAAAGGGGCAGTGGACTGTCTTCAAACTGGATTCTAACATAAACTAGTAGATGTCATGGAATGACACTGGACCCAGAGACAGAAGGTAGGGATAAAGTTCAAGTTGCATGACTAGACTATATCTACTTGAAAGACCTTGGGCACTTTGCTTGGCCTCATTGATAGTTTCCTTATCTTTAAGTTTAAAGTAATTACTACCTCAAAGGGCAATTAAACAAGATAATGTATCTTAAAGGTCATTAGAAATTGTAAAGCATCACCTCAATATTTCTTTTTTAAAAATATATTTTATTGATTTTTTACAGAGAGGAAGGGAGAGGGATAGAGAGTTAGAAACATTGATGAGAGAGAAACATCGATCAGCTGCCTCCTGCACACCCCCTACTGGGTATGTGCCTGCAACCAAGGTACATGCCCTTGACCAGAATCGAACCTGGGACCCTTGAGTCCGCAGGCCGGTGCTCTATCCACGGAGCCAAACCGGTTAGGGCTCAATATTCTTATTGGTTTTAAAATTCTTTTTAATATATTCTGTTAAAATTTCTTGCCATTGTTGTTTTTAAGTAAAACCACTAGAGGTCAGAATTTCACATAAATTGTTTAAAGAAACTACCAAGGTAGGAAAAAAAAAAACCACCAAAAACGTTTACCTACTAAGCAGAATAAAATAATAAAATGAAGGTAAAGAAATAAAAATAAAGGTAGCTTTACACAAAGAATTTTTGATAACCGGAATAATTCTTATCTCAAAGTTGTTAGCCAACAGACTTACATAGGGAGAGGAAGGAAAGATAAATAGAATTTAAATACCTACTTATGATGTCTACACAGCTTTAAGTTTATATTGATTATCTTACATTATTTTAAAAATAGGTCTATGACTAATGTCCATTTTACAAATAAGAAGACTGAAGCATAAATAGATGTAATAATATCCTGAAGACCAAACAGATTGAATCTAGTCACGCTTGGGAAATAATGCAGTGAAATATGGTGTCTCTGTATTGGGCAACATATTATATGAGGGGTTAACCTAACTGGTTTTGCACCTGCAATGCTAAGTAATTTTTTACTTCCCAGGCTCTACAAATGAATGTAGGGAAAACTCCTTGTATTGTCTGTTTGAGTGTAGAAGTTTCTGAGCTCACTGCTGGTAAATATGAATTACGATGACTAGCCATGGGGAAGAGTATAGAACAGCTTGATCTTAGAAATAATGTATTGAGCAGAAACAACAGCCCTTTAAAATGTTTACTTGGCCATCAAACTTTGTCTTTTTGTATTCCCCCCCCCCCCCCGCCTTCACTTTGTAGAGCTAAGTATACAAATCTGCCTTGTTCAGGAGTGGGGAGGGATTATCACCATGTTGATGAAGGACCAGGTAGGGTAGATAGCAGTTTATATCTTGAGAGAAGACAATGTCTTATTTGTTATTGTGCACACAACATTTAGACGGTGCCCAGAGCAGAGGCAGGATAGTAGTGACTATGCTCATGTTGCACCATGTGCACACATAGGCAATTCACACACACACACACACACACACACACACACACACACAAAAGAGCTAGCTGAGCCCTGATGCCAAGAGTTTGCATTCTAATCCCCAGCTGGAAATGTAGATATAAGTTCTAGGACAAGTTCAAGTTCTTCCTTAGTTGGAAACCTTTAGCATTTCACATGATGCTTGGCACTTAGTAGGTAGTCAGTACATTCCAGAATCATGAGATGTCTTTAATAAGAAAGGAACTTAGAGTCCATTGGATGAAAAGCCACCAGGCTCTGGGGGAATAAGAAGCAATCAAATTGGGTTCTTAACAGACTTGGTTCTGGAACACAGGGTTTGTAAAAACTCCCCAAACCTTTCTTCCCCAGGAGCACTCACTTCTTCATTCTGTCACATTTCTGGCTTGTAATCATCTCATGATTTCCACACAGGCTCAGGAAGAGTGTTACAGAGGTTTCCATTGTTTGAAATCTTAATAGAGTTTCTAATGTGAATGGAGATGTTTTTTATTAAGCAAAGAAATGAGGGTACACATTCTTATGGTAGACATCCTACTGGTATCTAACAAATATTAGTTATCCTCTGATCTCCCTCCTAAATCATATATCTATCTCTTCATCACTCATGTCATTAATATATAGTATTTAATGCATATTAAGCATATTCTTGTGCTGAAAAGAATGTTTGGCACTTAGTATATATTCAATATATGTTCACTGAATTGGAATGAATAGAATTATTGAACATTGTATTTTGGACATTATTTTAACAACACTTTGTCCATTCTTCTTCCAGTTTGAAAACTGCAGTTTCTCCACAAGAAAAACATTTTAACAGTTCTACTACTAAGTGGATTCTCCTATTTGCAGGAACAAGGGAAGTGTTAATTTTCAGCATTCTCCATGATACCCTAGGAGTAATACAAAGTTTCCTATATTCTATGGAAAGTTCAGTAATGGTTTTAAGTAAACACTTTACTTCTCATCAAAACTTTCTTTTCTAAACATTTGCCCTCAGATTATTCATTAATTCACCCAAGAAATTATTAGGAAGCCCCAAGGTCTCATTGTTCCCCCTGCATTTATTTTATGGTAGCAAAGGTTAAAACTTGGATTGCAATCTTATGAGGAAATTAATTCACTGATTAAGAAAAATGCACTTTAAGCAATACACATTTAAATAACTGACAAGCATAGGGCGATGCATTTCTAGGATTTTTTTTTTAAAAGACCCCTTTTCTACTTAAAACTTTAAGCAGCTGTAATTCTTCTGCCCTATAGCCTGGAGAAACAGCGCATGAATTACTAATGAGAGAGCACCAATTTGTACTGCAGTGACCACTTTCAGAACCAAAGGGTCAGAGCTGAAACCAGGAAAACAGCAGCACTTTTCATCAACCAGTTGCTTGAAGCACAGTTAGACCTTGGCTCCACTTGAAAAAAATCTTGCAATGTTCTATCATCCCTCAGCTGAAGGCAGTTGGCCCCAAAGATTTTGCTTTCAAATAAAGAAATGTTCATTTGCATAGTACCTCCAATCCTCGACAAAACTTTTCCTCTGCATTGGAACCCAGCAGCCCATTAATTTATGAAATATTCAAAAGGTTTACTATTTACTTCACTGAGCTTTTGCCTAGTGGCTTTAGCAGCACAGCATGAGAAAGGAGTTGGGCTTTAAAGGAAAGGATTCCTGAAGACTAGTATCTTGCTTGTGTGTCTTCCTCTAGAGCAACACGGAAATGTCCCCCTGCCCTGGATCAGTTCCATCACATCCCTCCCCTGCGGGCCCATCCCCTCCTAATATTCTCTTACCTAACATCAAGGGAGATTTAAAAATAATAGGTCATTGATTTTCCAAAATAGATGAAAAATGGAAGGAACTAGCAAGGGGAGAAGAGAAAGTCATTGAGAGCTAGAATGGGGCTGAGAGCTGAAGGAAGACAGCCTCCTTATTAGAGATGGAAAGTTTATTTTCCTGCCTTACCTTTGGGTCCTGGTGAAATGGTGTGAGTGGCACAGACTTCGGTGGTAGGATGACTTTCCATGTCCAGACCCAGACTCTGAATGTGCAAAAGGAAGAGCACGAGTAGGATGAACTTGTGCCTTCGAGGTGAGACTCCAAAGCCACCCATGGCTGTGGCTCTTCCAAAAAGGGTCGCCCAGAGGTGCCAAGTAAACAGCTTTATTTGAAATAAAATCTTCTCTTTGGGGAAGAAAGTGAAGTCTCTGGAGCACACATTCCAAAACCGCCTGCAAAGAGAAGAAGACACATCCTTGGTTGTTTATCTTGTCAGTATTCCAAACGGACCCTACATTGTCCAGATTGTTTATTTTCAAGTGACAACAGTTTATTGAAAATTATCTCTGAACTAAATAATCAAGGGTGCAGGTCAGCAGAAACATTCCAAGGAACAGAGACGATAGAGACGCCTTCTGCTCAGTACATGAGTTGGCAATTCAATACCTTATCTGCGGTTAAATGTTGGCGTTCCAGACAGATTGAGCCAGAGTTTTCTTGAATTACCTCCACGTTACATAAGCAGTATGTATGGCTTTGAGTTTTTTCTAAGGAAATATTTATAAACAGCAAAACTCCCACCGCTCTTCATGACTTTATTTTCTTCTCTTGCTACAAATAATTTTCTTGGTATTTAACCCCAAAGGAAAGAATACCAGCTTTACTGCAAGCAATTTTGGCAATAAGTATCAAGAATATTAAAAATGTTTATAGCCTTCGGCCTAGTAATTGCCCTTCTGTCTTAAGAAAATATTCTGACATTTGGACAGAGCTGTATTTGAAAAGATGTCACAAAAAGGGGAAAGGAGCATCAGTTACCTAAAAATACGTAAAGGTTGGAAAATCTTAGTAAATACAAACATGAGAGAGTATGACATGACAATTTTATTAAAATGATGTTTGTAGCAAGTGTTTGATAAAATGGAGAACAAGCTAATGGTATTATATTTATTAAAAAGCATGGTAGATATAGATAAAGTTACAGTGATAGAGGTATCTATCTATCATCTATCTATTCATCCACACACTTACATGTTCCATCTACCCATAACTTGTATAAATAGCTTAGTCATAGTAAGATACTGAAAACCTAGAATCAGAATCGCATATAGTAGGCAGATGCCTTACCTTCTCAATTCTTGAAGAGGCATATTAACTAGAGTTGGATCAGTGGGAGTTTGGGTCTATTTTTCAAAGTAGGACCTTACAGATCATGGGAAAGCCTAATAAAAAATTACCCTTAAGAGAGGTAATGTTCAGTCTAAGAAATATAGGTGCATTTGTTTCCTAGGGCTTCTGTAACGCAGAACCACAAACTGAGTGGCTTAAACAACAAAAATTTATCATCTCACAGTTCTGGAGGCCAGAAGTCTGAGATCATCTGTTGAGTGGTGGCCCTATAGAAGATGTTTATACTGCAATCACTGGGCCCTGTGAACATGATTGTCTTTGCAGTTGAAATTAAACTAAGGATCTCAAGAAGAAATAATCCTGGTTTATCTAGGTAGGCCCTAAATCTAATGACAAGTGTCCTTACAAGTGACACCCAAAGAAGAAACACAGGGACAACAGGAGAAGGACTTGAAAGACAGATGCAGAGATTGAAGTTATGCAGCCACAAGCTAAGGGACACCTGAAGCCACCAGAAACGAGAAGAGGCAAGGATGCATCTTTCTTGAGGCTTCAGGAGGAGCTTAGTCCTGCTGATACCTTCATTTGGTACTTCTGGCCTTCATGACTGTGAGATAATAAATGTCTGTTGTTTTAAGCCATCCAATTTGTGGTAATGTGTTATGGCAGCTCTGGGAAGCTAATACACCATTCTTCTGATACTCATGAACAGTTACTGGAAGGAATGACACATCAAAAAACTTAGTGCCTGACAGAGACCGAGCAACATCTGTTCTTGTGCATTTTAATTATGATGCATCCAGCTTAGGAGATATCTGGAGGGAAATAAATATAGGATATGAAACAAGCATATCTTAAGGCAAATCTGTTTTCTACTTAAAACAGGATAGCAACAACATGACAACCTCACCTCCTGAAGGAATTTCTTGATAAATTGAAATAACTCAACTTTGGACCTGGTTTGGTCTTGGTCCAGTCACGTACGTATCTTATTGGATTAAAGTTCTCTCCTGTGGATTAATTTAATTAAATGCCATTTGTAAAAACTGGAAATTAGTAGAATGGCTTTTAAAATGACACGTATTTAGAAAGCAACATGATAAACACACATAATATTATTTTATTTTTTTAAGTTTTATACTTATAAAAGCATATTTTAAAAATTTAAAATGTTTTTTTTTAACCCTCACTGAGGATACATAGCTGTGCGAGAGAAACATCAATCAGTTGTCTCTGGTACATGCCCCAACCAGGGACTGAACCTGTAACCTTTTGGTGCATGGGACAATGCTCCAACCAACCAAGCCACCTGGCCAGGACAAAAATCAAATGGTTTTAATTGGCATATGAGCCTCTTGCTGTTCCCACCCCACTTTTGATTTGTATTCCCTCAAGAAAATTATTTCAATAATTTTAGTGCTTCCTATTTTATCTCTCTCTTTTTAAAAAAAAATATTTTATTGATTTTTTACAGAGAGGAAGGGAGAGGGATAGAGAGTAGAAACATGGATGAGAGAGAAACATCGGTCAGCTGCCTCCTGCACACCCCCTACTGGGTATGTGCCCGCAACCAAGGTACATGCCCTTGACCAGAATCAAACCTGGTACCCCTCAGTCCGCAGGCTGACGCTCTATCCACTAAGCCAAACCGGTTAGGGCTATTTTATCTCTTTAATATTTTTAAATAAAAAATTTGTACTGATGTTCTTGATTTTAATTTTTTTCAATTTAGATACTCACTGTCTTCTTTATATGGAAGATGGTTATTTTTTCATCCCTAGCTCTGCATCCCTCTCCTCATTCATTTTCTTTCTCTTTGTAATTTAATAACATTATCATTTTAATGTAAAAGTTAATGTTTATATTATAATGATGCTATAAAAACAATTCATAGCTGAATCGCGTGTGCATTATAATTACATTTTGTTTCTTGTACTAATTTCATTTTCACAAGGTTTAATAATTATATTGTTTTTATTTGCATAGTTTTCTATGTACAAATCCCACAATAACTACTTTGAGATTTTTCAGTTCTGTGGAAAATGTAAAATGTTCAATTGGCTTCCATTTCTTTTCTTAGAAATACTTTTCTGAAATTTTCATGCTTCTTGCTCAAGTTGGATCTGGTATTTGTCAGGCTTGTGCAAAGATATCTTAGGACTTGTCTTTATCTTTGTCTGGGGATCTGTTACAACTCCTTTTTCTGTATCCACATACTTTTTTTTTCTTGGTTTCCTCCCTCATTTCGTTGTAGCATGTCCTTCAGTAATTTCTTGAAAGAGAGTGAAGCTGCAGATACATTTTTGAGGCATTGCATGTCTGAAAATCTGATCATTCTCCAAAATATATAATATTTTGGCTGGATATAGAATCCCAGGTGTAAAAATGTTGTTCTATTTTCTTCTGGTTTCCAGGGCTGCTGTTGAGACATTCAATGTCATTCAAATTCTCTATACTATATACAGAATATTTCTTTCCTTGCTCTGGAAGCTTTTAGGAGCCTTTCTTTATAGCTTGTGTTCTGAAATTTTTAGTAATATGTCTTTAATATTGGCGTGTTTTTTTTTGCATTCACTGCCCTGGATTATCTGTGGTTACTTTTCTGTTGTTTCTTCTATTCTCTGTCATTGTAGATTTTTAAATTTTTTATCCCATTATTTTATTTTGGTGACATTCTGGAGAGATCAGAGCATAAACAGATAGAATCAGCCTGCCATATGCATTCATATATTCCAAAGATTACCTTTTAATATAGTTTCAAAAAACTACTGTGAGTAGGTGTGTTAAGATGAAGTTCAATATGCCTATTCATTCCCCTAAATATGAGTGTTGGGGAGGGAATTCCAGGGATGGCCATGAGAAGATATCAGAACATCCTTTCTATATAACATCAATGAAACTAGACAAAATTATTAAAAATAACCATTTCAGGATCCTGACAATTGACCAAAGCAAACAACAAGTTTAGAAGTATTTATTTTTGAAAGATGCCATAGCTTTTTGGAAAAACAGTGAAAGTATGAGGTCTTTATGAATGAAGCCAACTCCATCCCTCTCTTCATCTTGATAGGTGAGAATAGCAGTATTATCAGCACAAGGATGTCCACAAAATCCAGCAGCTCTGCTGCCATGGGCTGACTCAATATGGAGTGGGGTATGAAACACACTAATAAATTAATGTAAGTGACTAGTGAGCACAGAAATAAATCTTCACATTATTTTTGACAAAGGTACCAAGTCAATTTAGTGGGGGAAATGATAGTCTTTTCAATAAATGGTGCCACTGGAAAATTGGATAGCCACATGAAAATAAATGAACAATACCTAACACTGTATATAAAAATTAAGGCAAAATGGATCAAGACTTAAACATAGAAGACAAAATTATGAAACTTATAGAAGAAAACATAAGAGAAGATCTTTGTGACCATGGGTCACCAGTGATGGCGAACCTATGACACGCATGTCAGAGGTGACACGTGAACTCATTTTTTTTGGTTGATTTTTCTTTGTTAAATGGCATTTAAATATATAAAATAAATATCAAAAATATAAATCTTTGTTTTACTGTGGTTGCAAATATCAACCGAGACCCACCCCTGTGCCATGACAGCCTCGCGGCCCACAGTTCCTTTCAAGGTGCACAAAATCGTGCACTGGGTCCCTAGTGGGACTATAAGGAAGTAACAGTGAAGTAATAAGATTTGCTGATTGTTTGGGAATGGAAGGTGAGGGAAAAGAAAAAATTAGAGTGATTCCCAGGTTCCTTTTACTGAGCACAAGGAATGCTAATTTCAGAGAAAATATGATTAACTAAATTTTGGATGTGTTAAGCTCAACATCCTTCTGGAATATTCAAGGGGAGGTATCTGGTAGCCTAAAATAAATCTCAGCCAGAGGAATAGATTAGAAAGTCATCCACATATAGACTGTAAATAAAGCCTCTGGAATGGATGAGGTCTTGAAAGAATAAAAAGTGACGAGAAGAGTCAAGGTGTTTTTTTAAGGAAGAATCAAAAGAGTTCGGCACGTTGTCAAATCTATGCAGAGAAAGTTCACATTTTATAACTGGAAGATTCTTTGATGCTTTTGGCAGCACAAAAAAGA